ATATTTTTTTTATAATTTTTATATATCAATTATTATAAATTTTAATAGAATCAAAAAAAATTATTAAATTATATATAAAATTATTTTTCATTCATTTTAAATATTAAAAACAAAGAAATATTTCATAGTTAGAATTGAATCTTGCTCAACATAAATATCATATGGCTTTTTTTGATAGTCAAGTGTCCTTGATTAATTTTTATATATCTTTAAATTAATTATTTTTTTATACCATCTTAAAGGCAACTCTCATATTATCTTAATATATTCAAAGAAATTAAGATCCTTAAATTTTAAATTAAACATCTAAAGCAATACTTTTTTATTTATAAATCCATTTTTTAGGTAAATTATGGCTCCTAAATTCAAAGGTCAATCAGCTCAATTTAATGATTTAGGACAGTCTAGACAAAGACAACAAAACATTAATATCCATTTTAAAACAGCATTGCTCTTGAAAGATTTTTTTCCTAAGGTTTGATTAACTTACGCAATTATGACAATCATAACACATATTAAAAAGTGCATTAATTATATTTTTATATATAATTTTTATAAAAAAATATTAAGATTTGACTTTATTTTATCATTAACGCTATATATAAATTTTTAATTAAATAATTAATAAAATTTAAGCAAAATTTTCATTTTTTAATATAAATTAATTGGGTGAAGTTTTTATCATACATTAAATAGTTAGTAATATACACTTTTAATATAATTACTTATTATACTCTTACATTACACATTTTTCCCAAAATTTCACATTTTTTGTTTCTTAATAGATTAAAGAGAATGATAATCAATTAAAAAATATAACATTAATAATTAAAGATGTGACAATAAAGTCACCCAAATTAATTGCAAAAAGTACAACTAATATATTTTTAAGATAAAAGTTAAAAAAATTAATTGCATTTTTATTAATTATTATAAAAAAAGTGACTTTAGTTTTACCAATTACTTAATTAAAACATTAATGTGGTATTGTTATTGTAAATGAAACTAATTTTTTTTGTCTCTTTATACAAATTAATAAAATAAATATAATTAATATACTCTTAAATCACAGAATTAATAATAATAATAATAATCTTTTAATGAATCATATTTGAGTTCGAAATAGGGGGGACAATAATATCCTGGTTCCATGAAACAGAACTTGAGATTGTTGCCAAGGAGAGCATGGACCTGATTCTTGTTGGGCCAAACTTTATCTCATTTTAGTTGGAATCCATGTTGGGCTATTTTGGAGAATCAATTAATTGAATCAATGTTGCTATAGCTCAACCTAAAACCCAATAATTTTGAAATTTGAATTATTTCAATTTTTTGGTTAAATTCATAAAATGACTGTATTGAATCTTGATTCACTATGTAAGTCCAACGAATTCCATTGGTTCATATAAATTTTTATCAAATTCATTAACGATATGTTTGGGAACATGATATTTGGAGAGTGTATTTAAATTTGGTCATTTCAACTTCAATATCACAATTTGTTTTCACAAAATAAGAATGTAATTGAATTTAACCCAAATACATGTAATTAGGTTTGTGTATTTCATTACTTTAAAATTCATGTATTTCAAATCCTCTTCTAACCTTATGTATTTCAAATTTAGATTCATGTATTTCAATTCTCCTAATTTTGATGGAGTTCAACAGTGGATGATTTCACCTCACCCACCCTTCTGCTGCTCACAATGAACCAAATCTTTGGCGAAGCAAGCTTGTATTCTCCTCTCCAGCAATGGGCACGCAACAATCCACATGATCAGCCATCACAGTAGACAACTCCTAAGACATATTGAGCAAAGCAGAGCAGCAGACACATGCAGCTAGAGTGTCCTAGCAAGGGAAGATTAAACACTTGTGGATGGACCAGCATTGGGTGTAGATAAAAAGGTGAGTCTCATTGAAAGTTTGCAACAAAAAGCTATTAAAGGGGCAGAGGAAGAGTGGGAAGTGGAGAAGATGATAAAAATGCCTTGGAAGTATTTGTAAAAATGCCTCGATCAACAACTTGAATATCAAATTCATTTTTGTTATATTAATCCAAACAATAAATTTAAAAATACATCTTTCAAATACAAATTTAAGTTACTAAACATAACCTAAGAAAAAAAAAATCATGAACTGACACTTATGGTCCAACAGTTCGTGCCATTATGTCTACAAAACAAGAACCATTATATGGATAGAAAAGATAGTCCTTAATATCAAAAAATCCATCCCTCATCCAATAATTTTAGTTATAGTGACACTTTTTTGAAAATGTTTTTGCATTGCTTCCATCCCATGATTTTCCTTAGCTCCTTCCCATGTTCGAAAGAAATCTTGGGTGCTTTACCAAAGGTGGCCCAAGGAAAGCAAATTCCAAAAAAGGAAAAGGAAACTCCAAAAGAAAATGCAACAGCAATTAGCAGGCCTTCAGCCCAGCAGCCATGCAGCCTAACCCAAACGGTCTGATTTACATATTTTGGGACTTTAGATAAGGTCGGTAGCCATCACCTGCTGCATATTTTTCCGCGTCATATATATAAATTATATAATTTGAGATAATTTTTTAATATAATTATTTTTAAATAATTTATAATCGGTGGAATTTTCTTTGTGGAGAAATTTGCAGGTAGATAGACACCCTACACATGAAGTGAATATATAGCAACACAAATATAAACAAGGCAGCCTCGAGGGGTATCGAAAAATGTTGGAAATTAATCATAAGAACTTAAGATTTTATGTTGGAGGATTCATATACAAATTTTAAGATAAGTGATAAGGAATTTAAGAATGTATTCCCCAACATTAGTTGCACCGCTAGAATATGGACAAACAAAAAGAAAAAGTGAAAATGCCATTTCACGTCGTTGAGATACCTTAGCTACTGAATTAAGGGATTAATTGATTCTATTCCATTCTAATCGAAAGTCACTTTAATTACTTGAAGAAAAAATTATTGAGCTACATGGACGAGTACAGAGGAGTGGATTCGAAATCTAAATGATTTAAATTCTAACATCGAAAGCACCATTCACCCCATGTACTCTGTCCTATATCTTCCAAGATGTAACTATCAAAATCCTTATCAACAAGCCTGAACCAAACCCTTATCAATGGGTCACTTTCATCCACCCAAGTACCAATAATATAAAATATTGGACACATGTTCCACTCAAACACTCCCTTTTACATCATTAAGATAACCCCCAAAACTATTAAAAATTTAAAAGATCCCCATTCTTCATTTGATAATTAATTAAGAAAACCCATCTCAACCAATTTAGATCAATATCTTTATTGACCTAAACTAATAATTTTTCTAACTAGTATTTCCTTATTATACTCGATGTGTGAATCAGCATATATTATACACGTTTGTGAGATGTTGGTATTAGCCAAACTGATAAATCATACCCCACAAAAGCCTAAAATTAAAAGGAAACATTATTAATAAAAACTATAAGAAGAGATAATCTTGGAATTACCAAGCCACCAAAGGTCATAACTTATAAGGGCAATAATATACACAGCGGTGATATAAGAATAAATTTTTTATAAATTTTAAATGTAATTTTTATATATTATTAAATAAATAAATTTAATAACATAAATTTTAAATAAATAAAAAATTAATAATTTAAATAACTCATAAAATTATATAAAAAAATTAATATAAAAATATTCTTTTCAATTTTTTTATCAATTTAAAAATAGAGACGTGGGCGTCTTAAATACCGGGAAAAAGGAAAAGAAAAAGAAATGGGAATTTAACCGTACACGTGGCGTGGATCTGGTGGTATTACGTCAGGATGTGCATGGAAGGAACATACGTTGCTGCTCTGATGGGGCCTTATCCAATGCGAATGTGCCACGTTTAGGTAGTCAACAGAAAGAATGATTGTCGCTATGTGCTGCGTGTCCATGTCCTGATTGGTCCTCCCGCACTACTCGATATTGGTGGCTCCCCCCATAATCTTCGGCCGACATACATAAACAGCAGTAAACTTAAATATTAAAAAAGAACGAAATAAAATAACTTTTGCAATATGGTCCTTCCAGTTTTATTTATTTTTATTTTCTTCCTTATGTTTTGGTTTATTTCTCATGAAAATTTCTTCAAATAAGGATTTTTTTGTTGTTGTTCTTTTGGGTGGAAAAAAAGAATTGTTGTTTCATTGTTTTTTATGAAGGGTAGAATTGTAATTTCATAATAATTAACCACACCTTTGCATTTAGATACATCTAATAATGATATAGTGGATAGCCATCTCATTTCTAATACCTCTCCTTGCTCAATATCTCAATTAGTTTGAATACAATAACTTAAACTTGAAATATCAAGTTTCTATTTATTGAGACAAGCTATGGGGGTATTTCTTAAACAAAGATAAGTTTAAGAAGTATTAGCTTATATGAGGAGTTACAAATTTTTTGTTAATTTTTCTGATCCTATATGAATACTTGCCTTTAATTTCAATGAGAAATATTTTTCATTTGTATTGGATTGTGGGGAAAAAAGTTAGAAATTAGGTTTGAAAATTATAAGTTTTTTTATAGATTTTTCATGACCCTAATTTCTTCCTAACTCAATCAAATATTAAATTAGTAGCTAAGCTAATATTGACTCATTTGACAACTCAAACATAAATCATTTTATATTAAGACTTTTTATGCATTGCATATATTCTGAATGGATTTTTATAAAGGTTAAAGTATATTTTTTATAATAAATGTGTATAAAAATGTAAAAATTGACATTAATTTTAGTGTCAAATGAATTTAATTAAATAATTAATAAATTAAATATTAATTTTTATTTTTTAATATAAATTTATGATAAATAATATATTTAATATATTCTTAATTTGAAAATACAAGTTAGACAAATCCATTGTGAATAGGGGACCTTATTCATTGTTGCTTTTCTTTACTTTTCTTTTTCCCCTAGCCAATTGGATAAGGGCTCTAGTCTTGAAGAGGTTTGGGTAGGTAGAATTTAAGGATCAATAGTATTAATTAATGCACTGACTTAGGATTTATAAACTCGTAAATTGCAATCTAAGTAATGCATTAAATGGGGTGTGATTAATTTGATTGCATGTGTCGAGTAGGCGAGTTGTGGTTTGGCTTGGGTTTTGGACATTTTATCAACTAAACCGACTTAATAGGTGGAGTTTTCAATTAATTTCAATTCATTCAATATTTGTATTATAATTGAACTAATCGAACTTCGTTTTAATCAGTTTGATTGATTTGGTTTGGTTAGTTTTCAAGCCCATAGAAGTTTGAATTTTCTTTTTCCTTTTTAAGGATTTGAAGGTCTTGCAATCAAATACTATGATAGTACTTAAAAAAAGAAAAACATAAAAGTAAACAATAACAAAAAGGGATTAAAGAAAATCAAGATTTCGAACATTCTTATAATTAAAATGTCTAGAATGATAATAAAAAAATTAAAATATCTTTAATAAATTAATATATAAAATGATTT